TATCGGTTGGAGACGGTTAGAGGTCATCCTAATCTTAGGGTCAACATGCATATCATATCCAGAATTTATTTATATGATTTTATGGCTTTATTTCAGGTGCGACCCAAAGTTTGTTAAACACCTTGGATCACGTCACGTAAGCCCCTTGAAGCCTCTGAAGAGGTCTGAAGGATCTTCAAATGTCTTCAAACTACCCAAATCCGACCAGAAAAGCAGCCAAAGTTTGATGCCAAATCCGACCAGAAACCCACCGTGGCATAGCGTGGAAGCCCTGCTTGTTGCTGAACCATACTGGGCATCTGCTCGATGATCAGAAGCATCAAAGCGCCGGTGCAAAGGCAAGTGGCATCGGTTGTGATGTCCTGTGGTTCCCAACGTGGGTCACGTTGGCCACATATGGCCACATTTGCTCGTGTTGCTCTTGGCTCAGGTGTTACTTGGGTGGAGATGGGTGGGGAAATCAGTTTGTTGATTTTCGGAAGCCATTCCCAAAGCACCAAATCCTGCAAACTTCACGGGGCTAGGCTTGTCAACCAGCGGCAAACATATATTATGTACCGGCTGGGAAGACAACCAGGAAAAACATATTTAAATGAAATTCATTGAAGTTTAAATATATAAATGTAAATGTATATAAATGTTACCTGTTCTCCAAAATTTCTCCGAGTTACCATGATCTCCTTGAAGATCTCGGGTTTTTTGACCCACTCGGGTATTTTCCCAGTCGTACTGAATGCAACAAATGGGGTGAGTCCAAAGAGCAGCGAGAGTCCGGGGTACAGCAGAAACCAGGGCCGACCTGTTTTGCACCATTTCACCTCACCAAAGATACCAAATTTCATGGGGATGGAAGGCTCGGTGGGAAGGGAAGGGTAGAGCATCACAGCTCGCAGAACACCGAGGCCATTCACTGCCACACAGGCAGCCTTTAAAAGGGCTCCCAACTGTGCTCCCATGGCTCCAGTTGATGCACCAAATCCCAGCGGAGAGCGCTCCAAAGAGCCATATGGAGCCAAACAGCAATCACTGCAATCCTTCCATGCGATGTCCGCCACAAAGAGTCCAAGACTGGAAGAAATGTGTGTCTTGCGAACGCATGCCTCTGTCCAGTATGCTGCAAATATCGATGCATGGTCTCTCATAGAATATAAAAACAAAAGGCATCCCTGAGAATCACCAGAAGCTGGTGCCAGCTCAGTCTGCTGGCCTTTCGACCAAGACACCAACTGCTACCGGTGGTCCAGTTTACAAAGCCATATTTCCTGAGTTTCACACGTAACAAGCTTTGTATGAAGCAATGAAAGGAAAAGCCTGAACTCGACTTTTGACTCCAACCGCTCCAGCCCTCAATCCCGGAGTTTCATCCCTTGCGAATTTCAATATCAAAGTGGTTGTGATGAAAGTGGGCGACTTTGGACAAAGCCACTTAACCCACCCTGGTCACCCTGGTCACCTCTCTCTCTGATCAATTTTCAGTCCAATTCCACTGAGGCAACCCACCCTAAACAGACCCTTCCTCACCAAGAAAAACGAAATTTGTAGGCTTGTTGCAGTGTACTTGGAAAAAAAGACCTTTTTGCCCCAGTTTTCTTGCCTACAAATAGGCTATTACAATGTGGTCATGAAAAAATGTCATTACCCACAGCGACAGCCGTTTTCTGGCCAGGGGTCCATCCCACAGTACCATTGAATTCCCACCTGGCAGATTCCAATGAGACCAAATTTTCATTGGCCACATTGTCCTCAGGGCGGCTCTGCACACGTGCTGTCTGGCGCACTTGGCTTGGTGTATAAATGGATGTGTTTTTGGAATGGAAATGTATCGAAAAGGTTGATCTGCCAGGCAAATTCTTGGTGCCTTGTTGGTGCCATGGCTCCTTCATCCACCAAACTCCTCGAAGGAATTCAGGACATTGGTTCTCTTGGCCAGGTGGTGGCTCCATCATATCCATGAACCTCGACTCAGCGGTGAGAGTAAAGTGCAACTTATCTCATTTGGACAACCAACATCATCCCAACAACAAGCCAGCAGGATTCCACCGAGGTTGCCACTTCCCTAAGTCACCACTTCCCCAAGTCACCACTTCCCTAGTTCCCAAAGTCACACAAAAGTCATCCGTAACTCGGAAGATTACTTCCCAACTTCCTTTGACAATGTATTCAAGCTCACCGGTGTTTGGCCCGCCATGATTTTAAGCTCTATCAAATCACCTCCGCCCTCCCAAAGATTCACTGTGCTTAGGGAATGTAGATCATTGACAGGTTCGACATGGTTCGACACATCTGATTGCCGCTTAAGGCACCATTGGTCAGGCTCGCTGATCTTCTTGTGCTGAATGTTGTGCCCTGGTGTGCTGGGCAATGCAGAAAACCCAGTCCATGGTGGACGAATCACCAGCACAGGGTGGAGAGCCACACCCCGTCACCACACTCACCAAACTGCTTTCCAGATCTTTCCAGCTATACGAAACTACTAGTAGCATCAAAAGATTGGAAGCTTCTGGTTACATAGAGATCTGAATGAATTTTCATGGGCTTGGCGCAGAGCTGGCGACGGTTCCAGGCTGACTTTATGGAAAAACGGCCAGGCCACGGCCAGGCCCCAGCCCTGCACCTTGGCACCAGGTGTAGCCTTGAATACATTCCGCTAGACAGCATGGAAAGCCCCGCCACCATGGTGACCTGTGCAGCGAAAGCCGGACGAAAAAGCCGTTGATAGATCTGATCTCCATTTGAGACATATCAAAAATTCACCAAAGGCATGTGTTGATTTGTTACCTTTAAGGGACTGCCATCCAAGCAATTTTGGTCCGCGATATGAAAAGATTCAGATCTTCCAGGGAAGAAGAAATGGATTGGAAAGAGCTGAGTCACCGGTTAGGTTATTGGCTCGTTTCATCTCGACATCCTACGCATTCGTGTTGGCTCTGACACTGAAGCGCGGGCATTCAACAAACAGGCGCATGGCAAACATTGAGACAGTAACATAATGCAAAATGAAAGGAAAGATTCTGCGATATATGTGATTTGAGAGTTGCTAAGTGGATATGTAGCCATACTCAATCTACATCAATCTACAGGACGTCCTTTTTTCAACTTCTCATTAACCTGCGGTGAGATGTTTAGACCTCGAAGTAATCTGTGTCCACTGTGTCGACCTGCGCCGGTCACCCGTCGTGTCCATTGGTGCCCGACACCTGGGCGTGAACATGTTGATGTTCCTCATCTTCGCAGCCCACTGGGCCTTTTTTTGTGGAGGGTCGAAAAGCGTGACATCATAGTCCTGCAGCTGCTCTGGCCAAGCTCCCGGCATTCATGTATATATATATATATATATATGACGGTTTGTCAAAATGTCTGTTCCCAGTTTTGTTGATAAATCGCAATTCCATGCGTGCCGCCTCATGTTTGCCTTTAAAAAACATGACCTACCTTGATGACGTGAAAACGTGGAAATTCTTCGTTACCTTTGGAAATCTTTCTGAAACCACAGGAATCGGCTAACGCACGCCGGTTTTCATTCGCTGTCGCTGGTACTATCTCCTGAACTGTGTGTCTCTGTGTGTGTGTGTGTGCCTCTCTGAATGCAATATGCTTCTTGACATGCCTCCTGATCAACGCTGTTTCCTTACTGTAAGCTACCAAAGCGTGAACATGGCTGTGCCTCTGAATGGGTTGTGGGTGGACCGGGGCATGTATTTGCAATTTTCGCTAGCGCGTTGGTAGCGGTGATCTAGCGCGTAAAAAACGTAAAAAAATCGAAAATTTGGGAATATGTGGAAACTGACAGACTTGTAAGAAAAGCTGGCAAGACAGTCACGACATGGAGGCCATGGCTGTCAATCAAACCTAGCGCAAACCTAGCGGGTTTGCTAGCGCTGCCTTGCAGAATTGCTGAATTTAGTTGCGTGCCGCCTCATAACGAAGAGGAAAAAACAGTAGATCCAGATGAAATATCAACAACCAATACTAAACTTCTAAACAACTATTTTTGACAAATGGTCATATGGGTATAGTATCGTTAAGAGCTTTTTGCAGTGTTTGAGAACTTATATAAATCATAGAAGTTGCGCACGTTTATAGGAGTTGCGCACGTTCCATAGCAGTTGTGCACGTTCCATAGAAGTTGTGCACGTTTCATAGGAGTTGTGCACATTTCACAAGCCCCCTAATAACGTTCGTGTTCAACTGCTGCGGAATGGACTCAAAACCGAAGCTCTTAATGATACTATACCGATATATATATAATATATACATGTACATGGCATTAAATGACTATACGATCCTTCAAAACTTGAGAACCTTTGAGACTGCGTTCAAGCCTTGGACAGGTGAAAACTCTCTCTGGTTTTTCTGGCCTTGACGATTTCATGAAATTTTTCCCAGTCGACTTTGCCATCTTTTCCATATGCAGCGGCCATGGCGCTTTTTTAAATCCGAAAAGTCTGGAAAATCCGCTGCCAAAATCATCCTTAAACATTCCAAACTTTCCAAAAAAGTGGGGGTTCCGTGTGAGTTTAGGTGTAGTTGATGTAGTTGTAGCAATTTGATTCAGTTTGTGCTTTGATTTGCGAGGCTTTGAAGATGACACTGGAGCCTTGGAGCATCTTGGAGCAGTCAAGGTTACTGGGGATTCCCACACTGGATGATCCTTGGTATCCTTGGTCCGTTGGGTAGCATAATAAAAAAATCATCAACCAACTTTCTGGAAATATCTGGAAATGCTAATAAAAGCCTTTGCGAAGCCACTCTACTCGGCCTAAGTGGTTGCAGTGGGCACTGAATCAAATGAAACCCGTTCAGCAATACCATCGCCCAACCTCGTCAATGACACCAATCACCTAACTTCCTGTATCATCATCATCATCATCATCAACAATAACCATTAATAACCATTAATAACCATTAATAACCAGTTGATAACCATCATCATCATCATGACTGCGGACCTTGCTGGAAGGCGCTCAGCTCGGTAGATCTGGATCTTCTGAGATACCAACATGATTTGAGTGGATCCGCAGAACCACATCCACACCTCTCGTGCCGCAACACGAGAGTGGGAAGGACAGGCTACAGATGGCTACAGTATGCAATAGCAACCTACGCCATTGAAAAACAGCTGGAAGAGCTCGAAAATATGCTGCCCATTTGCATCTTATGTCCCAAGAGAAAGGCAGATACGTTCTTGATAGATGGACAAATGCCTAATGGGGTTGCAAGGAGTATGAAAACGTGTTGAATGTGCTTGAAAATGTAAACTGGTGTAATACAGATGTCCTGGGCATGCAGGTGCAGTATGGCGTGCATGCAGATGATGCCAAAGCGCAATCCCTTTTTTAAAGAGATATTTTGAGACTTAGTTCGCACAGCACTGTCGAGCCTACAGCACAGCATACAGGCTAAAACACATCATAAAACAAAGATTTCAAGACTAATTTCTGTGAAGAAGCCGACTGGAGTTGTTCTATTTTGATATGTTTTGAACATGTTTGAACCATGGGCCCCTGGAAAGGTAGATGGACCTATGGATCGGTCGAAGTCGGGTCCACCCACGCGGGCAAAGATGTCTGACAAGACTCCTGCAAACGACGAAGACTGTCATAGCTGTGGATCATGGGTCAACCCCCAAACATCATATCTACCATATCTATCCATATCTATCCATATCTATCCATATCTATTCTCTCCATTTTCGGGCGTTGGAGCACAAGGGTTTGGACTATTTTGGACTCACATCCAAATTTCATGGAATGGCCCCCAAATTTGGCTGAATGGCATGTTTTACAGAGTGATTGCCTGTTTTTTTTCCTGTTTTTTTCCCCCACCTGGCCATAAAGATTCCATGGGGAAGCCTTAAATGTGACCTCTGCGGCTCCTGGTGCGGCAGCATCACCGCTGCTGAGTTCGCCCGCTTCACCCCATTCCAGCAAGCTGCTCAATGGCCTTGGCTGAGATCGGAGCGATCGGAGCGATCGGAGTGATCGGAGTGCCGCTGCCAAGGTACACCACCTTTAAAGTCGACTTGGAAGCAGCCGCCTGACCGGGAAAAATATGTGAAACATGTGCAGAAACTTCGACTATGACTATGTCCTGTTTTGGATGTATGTTCGACATTGTTCGACTGCATGAAATTCGTTGTTCCGCCTGCAGCATCAGCCCAGCCACTCGAACCCCTTTCGCAAGACCCTTGACGTAGACACAGGGCCGGCCATCTTTGGGCGCCACCAGGGTGGCCATTCCGATGCCCAAGAGGACCTGACCACTGATTCAACTGTCGGAGATGACACCAGACGTCGGAGCCCTTGGGGCGGTAGACGTTTTTGTCCTTTGGATATTTTCGCAACTTGGCTGCTTTCAACATCTTTCAACATCTTTCTATCACTCAAAAAGTGGTGATCTTCAGATTTTCGAAACGCTAGTTGAATGATTTGAATGAACAAACGCAGCTTCACTGGACGCTGGGTACAACCAAATGATCCCACAGGCCTGACCACTGGTACTCAAGGTCAAGGGCTGAGTGAGGTTGTAGATGCCTGGTGAAAATAGCCGGAGACAGCGGGTCGCTGGTGCCCAAACGACACGTCGTGTTGAAAATCCATGAAAATCCAGCAAATTCCAGTTGGGCAATTCTTGAAGCTATCGGTGCATCTTATTCATTGTCTTTAAGGATTGATTTGCGGTCCGTTCGGGAAAAGCACATCGTGCTGTGCTGTCAAAAAAAAGGGCCTGGCGTTAGCACCACGTGCAATCCCAAGTCCAACTTGGCTTGGATGGCACTGCTGGCATCGCTGCTCCTGGAGTCTGTGCGGCAGCAAAAAATTGCACTACGACTGGGACCTTGGAATGCTACTAGGTACCCTCTGGTAAACGTTTACATAACTATGGAAAATCACCATTTTCAATGGGTAAATCCACTATAAATGGCCATGTTCAATAGCTATGTTAAATTACCAGAGGGTACTAGGTAGATCAGCTGTGGGCAAAATGGTGCAAAATGCAGAGAAGTGGGATTATCTGCGATCACTGTACTTTGGGAGAACTGCCGCACTGTCGACAATGGAAACTGTATCAGTTAAAGTTGTGTGTAAATTGTTGTTCAAGTTGTTCTCCTCACCCTATGCTGGTTTCAAGGAAGGGACCCCCTCTCTAGGGCCCGCGGTTCTTGGCTGCCCGAGACAAAGGTCATGTGATTTTGACACTCTTGTTTATCACAAAATAATAACCCATGTTTGTTCTTTGCGTTTTGCTATCACCTTCATTTGCACCGCTTTTTTTGGTGTCTTGAATTTTGCATACAGGAAGAGCAAGAACTATAACATGTCATACCTTTGCAACAACCCTCATCCTGGATGAATCTTGTCAGGTCTTGTTTCAAAATCAACAACTATGGTAACTATGGTCATCTTAAAACATCCATTCCATTGGTTCCATTCCAGTTCCATCAGCTCCAGGGCGTCCTGGCCACATAAACTTCACTGAAGGGCACCGCAGTGGTACCTCCTTCCTCCTGGAAGCTGGGGCCAACCTTGGCAAAAACCGAGCAAAAATAGGCCGTCCAGGAATCCAGCTCCAGATGTTGCTGGCTTCGGAATGCGTTCGCGAAAAATACGTTCTGTTGCTATTGCTGCTATTCTTGGATAAATGTCAAAATGATATAAAATGATAGAATATGATAGAATGAATAGAACAACTCTTACTGTATCTTCGGTATGGACTCGTCCAACCTAAAACTGTTGGGATGGTGGGTGGCACACTCCAAGTTGCCAAGGCACTGATAGGTATCTATATTCCGGGATTTCCAAAAAGAAAAGCCCAGAAGAATCCTCAGATCCACGAATTGCCACCCGTGAACTGATGTGACTCGGAGTGGCACTCGGTGGTGCAACGTCCCGTGCGTCCTCCCAGTCCGAGGCTCGATTGAAATAAAAGGCTTCTCGGCCACCACAGGGGTCAAAGCCACATTGGTCAGTGCTGCAACAGAGCCGCTGTGTGGCAGAGTTGTGGGAGGTGTACCTGGCATCTGAAAACAACAATCCACGACTTTGCTTCAGATTGAGTTACCCTCTGGTTATTTAACATAGCCATGGAAAATCCCAACCATAAATGGAGGTTTCTGGCTGGGAAAATCATCTATTTCTATGGGCCATCTATACCATGACCATGGCTATCTTAAATAATCAGAGGGTAAAATCGATAGCTTCAGATGACGCGTCATTGTAAATCATTGAAGACTTCCGTGGAAAATGGTGGAAATCTTTGCACCATTGTCACCTCTACAAGCCCGGAGAAAACACCCAGAATCTGCACCCAGAAAACACCACCTGTACAGCCCACAAGGACGATGTTCCATTGCCCACCGAGGATACCTTTGAAATTTGGAATCAGGATGGGGCAAGGATGTGCTTTCAAAACGATGGAAAAAAATGGAAAAATGCACAAAAATACGATAGTGATTTAGTAGAATTGGCTGGCTGAAGACCTTGGGTGAATGAAAGTCAGTGACATATGGAAGATGTTGCCCTGATAATTCAACGAGCCAATTTGGACAGTAGTTATGCTACCAGTAATGCGCAGTACCCCTGAACCGAGCGCCCATCTAGATACCACAGCGTATACCCAAAAAAAGCTACGACTACCTACAAGTACCAAATTTCTTGTGACCTTTGTTTGATGGCCGATGCTAGCATTTCTGTGCCACTGTGTCTTCGCAAAACAAGCACTTGCCATTCCAAACCAAAAACAAAAAACATAGTGCCACCGTGTCAGCTTTCGCAGCTGGTTTCGAAGCCATCCAACATCTATCCATTTTTCACTTGGAACACTGTCCACACCACAGCCTCTTTCCTATCAGGACAAACTCTGCATTGTGACAACTGGTGGGCAAGATACTCGCATTCGGAGTGGAAATATTGGAGTTGCGCATAATCCACTGCTGCCTTGAGTCCGCACAAGTCCAATGCAATGCAATGCAATGCAATGCTGGGATAACATTGCCAAGAATGCTAAAGGTATAAACCTGGGAGCAACATGGACCTTGTATGGCCTGGCGCTATGGAGACCAAGCTTGGCTTCTCATGACAGAACGTCATGAAACATCATGAAACGTCATGAAGCATCAAAGGTCTCAGTTTTTCAGCCCAGGAACTGCCCTCCAAGCCTAGTGTATCCATCTACATGCACATCTGCCAGGTATCCTGCACGGAGCGCAGGCTTCGTCGCTACACTTGTCTTCCACATCACGAAAGGCGATCAACTGTGAAACATGCAACTTTGGAGGCTGCAAAAAAGAGGAAACTGATGAAAATTGCAGGTTGCTTCCAAACAGGAGTGGCTTGGCTAGTCACACGTGTGACGTATCCACACGTGGCAGAGAGTGCCTCCACTTGCCCAAGCCTTTGGGGCAAAAAGGGAGAGATTCCTCGCAGGTCTTGAAACCAGCTGTCAAGAATTTGTGCGGAAAGGGGAACATGAAACTATGAAACTCATTCGGAGGCACAGTGCCAAATTTGAGTGGTATACAAAGGAAGTCTTAACATCTTGGCTGTGTTGGAAGTTTGGCTGTCTCCGCAGGAGATCAAAACCGCCTGGTTGCCTTGCTTCAAAAAGCATTCATAAATAGAACCCTTGTGAATTAAGTCAAATTTTAGTCGGAACATCATGGGTCCCCATTTTATAGGCATAAGACCGCGGTCTACGACCCCCCCAACAGGGTCCTCTATAAAATGGGAACCCATGACCCCCCTGGCGAGGGTACACCTCTATAAAATGAAAAATATCAAGTTTGTAGAGGCCATCACTTAACCCTCACTTAAGCCCAAAACCCTTCAAACACTGTAAAATGGAGACCCATGACGTTGGAAAATTGCGGTTTTCCAGAGTATATGGTCTCTATCCGCTGACCCCAACCGAAGCAAGAGGGAGCGCGCTAGTGAATAGAATGGGAACTTCTGACGTTGTACGTGGCTGTCACCCAGCAGGTGAACATCACTATAAAATGCTGCTCTGACACCCAAAAAAAACTATATAAAATGGTGGACTCACTCGAGCCCTAAAATTTAGAGATAAAATGTGTGTAAAAAAATGCTCTTATCGGAGGGATATCCCCCCATTTTATAGAGGAAAATCCTAAGGGGATCAAAATAGCATCAACTGGCTATCCAACTGGCGAACAAAGCAATGCATTCGACCAAGGATGGTGTCCTGTCTACATGCACTCGTCGCAGCGGACATGCTTGGGATACGGCCCAAAGCCTGAGGAGAAGTCATGGCATGCTTGCAGGATCTTGCGGGAAAGAGTGAAAAAAAATGTTGTTCGTTAGATTTCGATAGCTTCACTAGATTAATTGTGCAGATTTGTGCAGTGTGTTGCAAGGGATTCCAGCTGCGACCATGCCACATGCCCTCAGAGGACTTTTGATGAAAATTCTCAGCACTCCGCCTCAAATACTGTGCAGCTGGGAAGTGCTCGCAAATTCATCGGAACCGGTGCAGTCCGTGCCAGCATCTACTCCCTGAGTCTATCCTCTAGGTTGGTTTCGAAGTCCATGGACAAAATGCAGCTAGACACTAAGTCACGAAGCGGCTCTGGCAAGCGCAAGATGACCCTCATGTCCCTTTTCAATCCTTTTCAATCCTTTTCAATCCTTTTCAATCCTTTTCAATCCTTTTCAATCCTTTTCAATCCTTTTCAATCAAGGCAAACTCAGATTTCAGGTGTCTCGCAAAATGAGGACATTTGAGGACTCTTCCCAGTCAATCTGTCCACGAATGGTGTTTCTGTCTCAGCGGCCAAAAGTTATCCAGCGATCCGGGATCCGGAGACTCACCCATGGGCGGAGAATAAACTCCGTTCCTGATGCGAAACATCAAAGGATCGGAACCATGAGAAAGTGGGAAGCACATGGAAGCACCATGCAATCCGAAAAAACCATCTCATCATTGGTTGACCCATTCCTAGACTTCATTTGATCCCTTAAGAGTTTCACTGTTAAGTTTCACTATGCCGGGCGGTCCTGCCAGTGAAGGCCACCTCTTGGGGACGTCGCCCCAGTCCCAGGACCTGCACATAGTAACCCACCTCGATGTCCACGTCCTCAACGGCCAACGGGCCGAAGGGCCAGGGATTTATGGTGGCTAAATTGGTGGGTAAAAAAAAAACCGGACTGAGATCATTTCAGATGGCTCAGCCGGACGATGCCAACATATGCCAACAGACTTAAAAAACATCTTATAGCCACCTATTAGATCCCAAAAAAAAGGTACAATTGATGTACCAGAGGTCTTACCAGGCGAGGCAAAAAATTACAATGCCATAGCTGCTTGGAGACATCGCAGCACCCCTCGAGACACGGACATGTGACATGTGTGACATGTGTGGATGGTCAAATGGTCAAGGCACATAGGAGCCAGGTTTGAACAACAAGGCGATGCGCTCGGAGCTGTAGTGCCCTGTGGTGACCTGTGACAGGAGATGCATCGAGATATGCACGGCAGATTTAGCAGTTTAGCAGTGGTGGCTGAGAGGGTGTGGCGACACTCAGAACAAATCTTACAAACATGCAATCCATTCTCGTTTGCTTCCTGCAGGGGTACTGTTGGACTATCATTCGTCGACTATCCCTCTTCCTTCATCTGTTGTTCTGCGCGAAAATCTACCATGGTCTGTGTGTGTGTGGCTTGGAAGATGACAAGAATTGACAAGATCTGTGCCCGTAGCCCAATACTGTCCCACCAGTATGCGCCCCTCGGCACATTGTTGAGATCCTTCAAAAGTGTAGCGATCTCTGCGGTCAGATTCCGATCCTCTGCATCCTGGCGGGCTGCAAGATGCTGCAAGTCACCCTAAAAGGGAGATGTGAAGCCAAGTTTCTGGGACAAACAGCGAAATCATGCAAAATCCTGAGTTTCCGGGTAGTTTTGAAAAATCTTGAAAAACCTGACCACAAAAGATCATGAACCATAGAATCATAGAACATCATGGATCCAGTCACAAGAGATATAGCAAGAGGATCCAGGGGACCCGCCTCAGGGGCAAAGATATGGACCGCTTGTGGCCACACAGGTGGGTTCGGCTCGGAGAACACCCTAGCACCGAGCGAATGATTTCCACATCTTCCCACGGTCCCAAAGGTGAAGTCAGTGATTGGATGATGGCCAGGATTCAAGAATTTTGGAGAACTAAGTGAACTAAGCATCAAACATAGGAATAAGATGAAATAAGATGAAATAAATTCTCTGGTTAGTGATACACCCCACTTGACCTGTAAGGGACTCAACATTTTTACCAAGGATCATGAGCCAACATCATCCTGGTTTTTATCCATCTCAACAGAGAGAAACTTCCAAGTTTCACTTCCAGGCCTCCAGCTGAAGCAACACCACAATCCAAAACCTGAAATCCGTTGCGGAACTTTCCAATTCACCCACTGACAGTCGACTGTCATGTCACAGCAACAGAATTCCTGGTTTTCGGAGGGACGGCAACACTTCGCGCCTAAAAAAACACATTGTCATACACAACAAAGTGTCCGCCGAAAGACAGATCGCGCGCTTCAAGAAATGTTCTTGGAATTCTTTGGATAGTTGATACTGTTGATATGATCATTGATATTTGATGATATTTGGCAGGTTGTTTGCATCCCTGATCTACGTCCTTTGAAAGCCTCCCAAGATATGCCAATCCCTGGGGCAGTGGCTCCAGCGCCCAAGACGCATGGCCAAGTTCCAGCGTTGATGGATCTGGTTTTATGATGTTTTACCCTCTGGTTATGTCAAAATAGCTATTGAAAATGGCCATTTATAGTGAGTTTTCCCATTAAAAATGGTGATTTTCAATAGTTATGTTAGTTTACCAGAGGGTATGTTTGTGTGTTTCTCTGTGTTTGTGTGTGTGTTTGTGTGTTTTAGCAACAAGTCGCTTCTTCCATTTGTGCCACAAAAGTAAAAAAAATCTATGACCCTGTTGGTGGTGTTTCCTCTGTAGCATACCCAGAGCCTTGGCTGATGAAAGACCCCCCACCGTGGAGTAACCTGGCACCGATGCATCCATCTTCTGCTTCTATAGATACTTGTTGCAGCGGGCCATGACGAGCGGCGATAACACATGACGGCCACGACCCCTGAGTGTGGCTAACCATTGAGTACTCTTTCAAGAAATGAACTCTTTCTCCATGAATCTCCATAATCGAAAGCTCTATTCAGATGGTTAGTGCCTTAGAACAAGTTCCCCTCTGGTTTCTGCAAGTCATAGCATGGACAGTGGTACCTATGTGTCACTCTGCTGAAATTAGAGTGGTCATCCCCAGCTGTATAGGGAAAGAATATGCAGATCAAAGTCCCTTGGCGCCATCATCATCATCGTCATGGTCATCGTCATCATCATCATCATCATCATCATCAATAACCATTAATAACCATTAATAACCATTAATAACCTTTAATAAGTGTTAATGACCATTATATAATAACCATTGATAACCATTGATAAACCATTGATAACCATTAATAACCGTTGATAACCGTTGATAACCATCATAAGCAGTCTTAGCCCCATGTCTATTCATATCCTGATCTCCAAACTGAAAAAAGTCATTCGTCGTTCTGCGTCCTCGTGCTGATCGTGCTTGGCCATGTGCCAACTTGACTCTTCCGCCTCGCAACGAGTGCCGAGTTTTGGCTTTCAGAATGCAACATCCTGGCAACCCTTAAGGACTGTCCGGTGGTTGCATGTTAGATTAACCATAGATTAACCATAGATTAACCATAGATTAACCATAGATTAACCATTTAGGTAGATCTGTATTGTTTGAATATCAACTTTGAAACAGCGCAGTCACCATTTTTCACAGCAGGGTGGCATAGCGTTAAACTGCACGGTGCCGTGACCACCGGTGGGATAAGTGGGACCAACGCTGAATCCCAACGATGACGCTGGAACAATCTCTTGATATCTCTGTATATCTCTATGTCTCAACATGTCTCAACTATCATGTGATACAACATGAGGATTCATATGGCCATGTGGGTATGGGTCAAAATTAGGTACCCCCAATAATTGGATGGTTAATACTAAACTAGACTAACATCTGTGGTCCCCTAGGTCTTCCATTTTGACCCACATCCATGTAGGGCCACAGGGATTCATAGACAGTCGAAAGAGTCGTCACGATGCATCAGGATGTCTCGCTGAACGAGACCGCGCTGTGCTTTTTTTTCGCGTCCAGGCGACGCCTCGGGCCCAAGCAGCCACGATTCGAGCGCCTTCGGCGCGGTGAGAAAGTTCAACGAGCTTCGATGCCATACCTGGGCTGAGCTTAAGCTACTCATCACGGTGACGGAGATACTGAAGCAGGACAGCAATTTGAAGAAAAAAGCTCACAGAGATTCACAGAGATGGGAAGGATTTTAGACTTTAGACATCTAAGATCATCTAAGTACATAGATGTACATAAAAACACCAGAGGATCGAAAAGCCAGCTTCACCTCAACTGATGGTTTCATAATGTTTCATCCCAGGGATCGAGGCAGTCCTTTGGAACTGTAGGCATTTTGTTCGTTTTTGATGAGTCCATACCTACTTGGTTGGCAGCTCCTCAAAGGTTGTGGATCAGAAAAATTGCCTGAGCCAGAAACATTGCTAATATTTGCTAATACTTCTTCACATCCCCCAAAGCGGTGTACTTGGAAGGGGAAAGCAATGAGCTCAGAAAATGTCTTACCGAAACAGGATTGGGTGTCGGAACTCTGCGACGCGGCCTTTTTTCATCGCAGCTTGACTGACTACGGCTTTCCTTCATAGGCTTTCGAGCAGCTCACGAGTGCTCAGATCATATAACACATTTCTGGTGAGGTATGGCGTTCCCTAGTCCCGTCAGCAAACTCAGCAAACACACATGTGATTCTCACAGTCCTTAGCATGGAAATGCAAGCAGCCACGTGCTGGCAGGAAAAGTAGATCAAACTGGCACTGTATTCGCAGGAATAACAACTACCCTCTAGAACGGTCATCTGCATGAAAGAATGCTCTGAGGACCTGTGAAAATGGTCACTGCTTGAGCACGATCAAAGAAATGAAAGATCAGGAACTATCATCCTAGTCGTCGTCGTCGTCGTCGTCGTCGTCGTCGTTGTCATCATCATCGTCATCATCATCATCATCGTCATCATCATCATCATCATCATGATCATGAGCTCTGTCAGCAATGTGTGAGATCTTCATGTTCAAATATTGTTTCTCCCTCTTTACTACTTTATGTCATCTTATTATATCCTCCTTCTTTCCTTCTTGATCTTCCTTGGCCCGAACAATGCCAAGCTTCACAGTGCTCTGGCAAAGGATAACAATCCTGCTTTCGGTTGCACGTCTTCTTGTTGACCTCCCATAAAGGCTGAAGCTTCAGCAGCACTCACTGCGTTCATACATGTTACTACAGTACATCTCAAGGCTTTTCTGTCCGGTCAGCTGAAGTTCCTGCTGAAACTGAAGTAATTTCTGAAATATCTTCTGAACCAAACCCAGATTTGAATCGGTTTTCATTAAAATCCAGCACAACCAGACCCTTATTTCAAAGAACCTGCCAAGATGAGAAACTCTCAACAGTAGTGTAGACTAGGGGTCGATACCATGATGTTGCGTTGTGCCCTTCTTGCTCACTGACAAAAGACAAAAATAGCAGGGAGTTTACGGAGGGCCAGTCACACTATAACTATATGGAAGTTCCATGGCCCAAACACGCAAAAAACACTTGGCGGGGTTGGACCGCGAAATCGGCACAGCACAGAGCCAAGTCACTCCGAATGGAGTATAAGCATCACGGCCAGTGTGCTCACTCACCACGGCCTCACTTTGAATCACTTGAGAAATGCCAGACTCAGCCACGTGTCACTGACGCAAGAAATGTCAAACCCAAGCATTCTGAGCCACCCCTTTGGTTGACAATCTATTGGCCGTTTGAGTCTTGTTTTTTCATACTTAACATATCTTAACATTACTTTTCGTGTTTATCTGACCTTTTGCGACCTGCCACACGCTAAACGAGGTGTTCGCTTCGTGGGCGTGCGAAAGCGTGCGAAATGTAGATCGAGATTCGAGAGGCGAAAGCCAGGGGAGTTACTACCGGAAAACCAATACATGCGGCATCATGTGACATCATGTGGCACGGAATAATTATGAAGTGGGCAGGTTCGACAATTGACAATCTAACCAGAATGAAAGCATGTCAAAAGCATGTCAAAGCTATGTGTGGCCACAAGAAAACTGAGGTTGGGGGAATCAAGATGAATCAAGTATCAGGATGTATCAGGGACAAGCAAAATTCTCCGCTGGAGCCTCTGTCTTCACGGTGTTCACGGAGTCCTTACGCACCGCGACGGCGAAGATGGAAAGCGGGGCCAACAGGATGAATCCTGGGCGGCTGTACTGAGCTACGAGTATACCATGAAAAATTCATGGACATCGGCCCAGAAATGTCCTGCCCCATAAACATCATAAACATATATAAACATCATAAACCAGACATAACCAGACCCAAGGTTCGAAGGGAAGCCATCAGGATTTGGCACACGGCTTTACGGATTAGGCGCTGAAGAAATGCTTGAGCAATCGCACAGCTGCAGCTTCATCACTTCAACGGAGAAAACAATCCATGTCCGGCCATGTCCCTTTTCACTCACTTGCAAATCAACTCATCAACTCTGCAACGACATATGCACAAGATTGCACGTTTGCACCTTTGCAGTGGATCGTGCATACGATTGGACTTTTGATCAGAGTCCAAGCACTTCTCAGGCCAAGTTGCACTGCTTGAAGGTCACGGTACAAGTTGGTCTGAACCTAACAAGCGCTCATGGAATGTGCATGGGGAGACTCACTACTTTTTTCAGGTGACACGCCTCCTCTGGCATCATGGGGACCCAAAGCGGAGCTGGAGGAGCTGAGGGCTGGATATCCTCGATATTCTGCTGCCCTTGTTCCAAATCCTGACAGCTGCAGAACTGCAGAACCAACAGAACTGCAGAAGTTTCACCCGGGCACTGTGAGTGACAGGAAAAACCATCTGGACATATCTGGACCACATCTCCGCACTTAATTAGGTAAGTCACAAACCGGAGACAGGCATGGTGGGACAGTGGGACATCTCCAAATCTTGGGTCAGGGGAACCCGCGGAACGGGGGCCGACCGCTCCTGGCCATTCTGGCCATTGTTGTACTGCTTTTCCAGCTCTGACAGGTCTTTGACAATGTACTCCCCCGTCAGCACTTGGAGCTCCTACAGGCAAATGTTTTGAAATACATGGAAAAAAACTCGAGATTACTAGAAAACCCATGAAAACCCCATCAAGTCTTCAAGGTTAACAAACACCAACCGAAATCATAGATTGGCCGCTGCGACAAGTGGTCATAGACTGGGACGTGACTAATTAGCAGAGGATGAGGACTGGGACGAGCATCCATGCAGGGCTGAGGACAATTACAGGCAATTGATTACCAGAAAAAACCATTAGAAAAGCACCAAACAGCATCAAAAAGCCCACGAAATCTGATCCTGTTATGATGAATTTGAGGCTCAGCTAACATGATGAAAACAACACACCACTTGGTCCGCCCTGCCTTCAAGGCCACGTACTTCTGAGCCACTTTTTGGATCCAGGCAACCAGGGCGGCCATAGCAAAGAAAAGGCCAATCAACACCAGGAACGCCAAGATCACCAACTTAGGCCAAGGGAATCCCAGCAGTTTAGATCCCCGAAAGTTCATTGTGAAGAAGGAACTCTTGATATCATCTTTTGGTATCTGGTCATGATGGTCATGTACCATGGTTACCATGAAATACCATGAATATTGGGGAGCCTGCCTTTTTCTCAGTATCAAGTTTCAAGCGTCATATCTCAGCAGTTCAAATGAAAAACCATCAGAAGCTACAGCAATCGTTAAACGGCCTTGACGAATTAGAACATCAGCGTTGTTTAACTCTTGATTCCACATAGTTTGGGTATGTGCGGGTCCAATACAACATGATAAAGTTGGTTTGGGGAATTGCAGCTGACAGGGGAGTAAACAAAGAGATGCAAAGGTGTCGGGCGACGAAAACGACTGCCAGCACCCCGCCGTTGTTGTTGTTGCTGCTGCCACCGCTCCCGCCACTTCCGAAACTGCTGCCACCTTGAACCAGCCGACTGATCATGGTGCATCTACCCTCTGGTAAACTAACATAACCATGGAAAATCACAATCTTTAATGGGTAAATCCACTATAAATGGTCATTTTCAATAGCTATGTTAGTTTACCAGAGGGTATCAAGTCCTTTTGACAATAATCAACGGTAAGACTGGAGTATCAACATGCGAACCTTCGCAATCTTCGCAATCTTTGCAATCGACAAATCATCTAAATTATCAGGAGTCTCAGAAATTCTCAGTCGCCCAATAACAACACCGTCCAGATACTCGTCGCTTCGGCGGGGATTTCCAATGATTTCCAGCCTTTTTTGGAGGCGCATCTTGAGGCATGGGGCTAGGCCAAAATTGCGTTCTGCCTTGCGTTCATCTGTTTGGAAATTCAAAGAAACCTACCAGTGGTCCCAGGCTTTTTCTGGAGATCACTCGATTTCCTTCCGAAACCAAGCAGTTTCTTCCTGGTTCCGTTTTCTTCCAAGGTGCTGGAAGAGAATGTTGGACAGTTGTCGCAGCAGTTGTCGCAGCAGGGCCTAAGAGTTTCTTTGTCAAGGTGTCTATTTCGCTTCAACAGGTGGGAGTGGCTCAAAAACTGGAACCCAGGAACCTCATTATCCCACTCATATATATATCCGCCGACCCCGGCAGACGCAAGGGGGAGCGCGCTAGGGAATAATACATTTGACCCTGGTTTCGGACTAGTGCCACTTCTATATTCTATAGGGTAGAACAGCACATAGTCAGTCGCCAGCAGCCAGCAGCAATAGTAGCAGGAGGAAAAAGTAGCTAAAATTATCCTTTTCTATGGGTTTCAGAAGTTACATTAGGGAGTTTTTGGTCGCAATTTTGATGCTTTTCCGTCCTTCACTGCCATGGTGTTTTCCCATCCGGGGGCTGTCTTTTGAACAGAAGGAGTAGCAAGAGCAGGAGCAGCAGCAGCAGCAGGAGGAAAAAGTAGCTAAAATTATCCTTTTCTATGGGTTTCAGAAGTTACATTAGGGAGTTTTTGGTCGCAATTTTGATGCTTTTCCGTCCTTCAGGGCCCTGCTGTTTGGGTGTGGCGGAGGCGCCGTTTCTGACTTGGAAAGCTCAGTAGCTAAAATCATCCTTTTGGTGTTTTCCCATTCGGGGGCTGTCTTTTGAACAGAAGGAGTAGCAAGAGCAGGAGCAGCAGTAGCAGCAGAAGTTACATTAGGGAGTTTTTGGTCGCAATTTTGATGCTTTTCCGTCCTTCACTGCCATGGTGTTTTCCCATCCGGGGGCTGTCTTTTGAACAGAAGGAGTAGCAAAAGCAGGAGCAGCAGCAGCAGCAGCAGGAGGAAAAAGTAACTAAAATTATCCTTTTCTATGGGTTTCAGAAGTTACATTAGGGAGTTTTTGGTCGCAATTTTGATGCTTTTCCGTCCTTCACTGCCATGGTGTTTTCCCATCCGGGGGCTCTCTTTTGAACAGAAGGAGTAGCAAAAGCAGGAGCAGCAGCAGCAGCAGGAAAAAGTAGCTAAAATTATCCTTTTCTATGGGTTTCAGAAGTTACATTAGGGAGTTTTTGGTCGCAATTTTGATGCTTTTCCGTCCTTCAGGGCCCTGCTGTTTGGGCGTGGCGGAGGCGCCGTTTCTGAGCTTGGAAAGCTCAGTAGCTAAAATCATCCTTTTGGTGTTTTCCCATTCGGGGGCTGTCTTTTGAACAGAAGGAGTAGCAAGAGCAGGAGCAGCAGTAGCAGCAGAAGTTACATTAGGGAGTTTTTGGTCGCAATTTTGATGCTTTTCCGTCCTTCACTGCCATGGTGTTTTCACATCCGGGGGCTCTCTTTTGAACAGAAGGAGTAGCAAAAGCAGGAGCAGCAGCAGCAGCAGGAGGAAAAAGTAGCTAAAATAATCCTTTTCTATGGGTTTCAGAAGTTACATTAGGGAGTTTTTGGTCGCAATTTTGATGCTTTTCCGTCCTTCACTGCCATGGTGTTTTCCCATCCGGGGGCTCTCTTTTGAACAGAAGGAGTAGCAAAAGCAGGAGCAGCAGCAGCAGCAGGAAAAAGTAGCTAAAATAATCCTTTTCTATGGGTTTCAGAAGTTACATTAGGGAGTTTTTGGTCGCAATTTTGATGCTTTTCCGTCCTTCACTGCCATGGTGTTTTCCCATCCGGGGGCTCTCTTTTGAACAGAAGGAGTAGCAAAAGCAGGAGCAGCAGCAGCAGGAGGAAAAAGTAGCTAAAATTATCCTTTTCTATGGGTTTCAGAAGTTACATTAGGGAGTTTTTGGTCGCAATTTTGATGCTTTTCCGTCCTTCAGGGACCTGCTGTTTGGGTGTGGCGGATGCGCTGTTTCTGAGCTTGGAAAGCTCAGTAGCTAAAATCATCCTTTTGGTGTTTTCCCATTTGGGGGCTGTCTTTTGAACAGAAGGAGTAGCAAGAGCAGGAGCAGCAGTAGCAGGAGGAAAAAGTAGCTAAAATCATCCTTTTCTATCAGAAGTTACATTAGGGAGTTTTTGGTCGCAATTTTGATGCTTTTCCGTCCTTCACTGCCATGGTGTTTTCCCATCCGGGGGCTGTCTTTTGAACAGAAGGAGTAGCAAGAGCAGGAGCAGCAGCAGCAGCAGCAGGAGGAAAAAGTAGCTAAAATCCGCCGACCCCGCTTGCAGCAGGGGGAGCGCGCCAGGGAATAAGACAAGAGTTTGCCACCGCCAGCTACTACTACTACTACTACTACTACTGCTGCTGCTGCTGCAGCAGCAGCAGCAGCAACGGCTGTTTTGGTGCCGGGAGGTGCTTTTGGGCAGCAGCAGCAGCAGCAGCAGCAGGTGAGCTGATGGGAGATTGAAAAAGTGGAAAAAGTTGGGAAAAAGACATTTTTTCTAGGAATTCAGAGGGACGTTAGGCACTTTTTCGGTGCGATTCTAGGGCCTGTTCGTCCTTCCGTGCCTTGCTGCAGCAGCATCAGCGGACGACAGCACCAGCACCGGCAGCTGCAGGATTTTCTGGGATTTATAGTCTAAGATTCTCTAGGATTCTCTAAGATTTCAGAAGACACGTTAGGCAGTTTTTTGCTGCGATTTTGCGTCATTTTCGGCACGAAATTAGGTGGTGTTTTGCTGTTTCGAGTGAGTTTCGAAAAAGCTGCTGCTGCTGCTGCTGCAGCAGCAGCAGCAACGGCTGTTTTTGTGCCGGGAGGTGCTTTTGGGCAGCAGCAGCAGCAGCAGGTGAGCTGATGGGAGATTGAAAAAGTGGAAAAAGTTGGGAAAAAGACATTTTTTCTAGGAATTCAGAGGGACGTTAGGCACTTTTTCGGTGCGATTCTAGGGCCTGTTCGTCCTTCCGTGCCTTGCTGCAGCAGCATCAGCGGACGACAGCACCAGCACCGGCAGCTGCAGGATTTTCTGGGATTTATAGTCTAAGATTCTCTAGGATTCTCTAAGATTTCAGAAGACATGTTAGGCAGTTTTTTGCTGCGATTTTGCGTCATTTTCGGCACGAAATTAGGTGGTGTTTTGCTGTTTCGAGTGAGTTTCGAAAAAGATGTCTAGCTGTTGGTTTCTGTAAGATTTTCTAGGATTTATAGTCTAGGACCTAGTCTAGGATTCTCTAGGATTCTCTAGGATTTCAGAAGACACGTTAGGCAGTTTTTTGCTGCGACTTTGCGTCATTTTCGGCACGAAATTAAGTGGTGTTCTGCTGTTTCGAGTGAGTTTCGAAAAAGATGTCTAGCTGTTGGTTTCTCTAAGATTTTCTAGGATTTATAGTCTAGGACCTAGTCTAGGATTCTCTAGGATTTTCTAGGATTTCAGCTACTACTACTACTACTACTACTACTCCTGCTGCTGCTGCTGCAGCAGCAGCAGCAACGGCTGTTTTGGTGCCGGGAGGTGCTTTTGGGCAGCAGCAGCAGCAGCAGAAGCAGCAGCAGCAGCAGAAGCAGCAGCAGCAGCAGGTGAGCTGATGGGAGATTGAAAAAGTGGAAAAAGTTGGGAAAAAGACATTTTTTCTAGGAATTCAGAGGGACGTTAGGCACTTTTTCGGTGCGATTCTAGGGCCTGTTCGTCCTTCCGTGCCTTGCTGCAGCAGCATCAGCGGACGACAGCACCAGCACCGGCAGCTGCAGGATTTTCTGGGATTTATAGTCTAAGATTCTCTAGGATTCTCTAGGATTTCAGAAGACGCTGCTGCTGCTGCTGCTGCTGCTGCTGCCCAAAAGCACCTCCCGGCACCAAAACAGCCGTTGCTGCTGCAGCAGCAGCAGTAGTAGTAGCTGGCGGCTGCTGTGCCATCAACCAGCCTCCAAGGCGAGAAACCAACAGCCAGACACCTTTTTCGAAACTCACTCGAAACAGCAAAACACCACCTAATTTCGTGCCGAAAATGACGCAAAGTGGCAGCAAAAAACTGCCTAACAAAACACCACCTAATTTCGTGCCGAAAAGGACGCAAAATCGCAGCAAAAAACTGCCTAACGTGTCTTCTGAAATCCTAGAGAATCTTAGACTATAAATCCCAGAAAATCCTGCAGCTGCCGGTGCTGCTGCTGTCGTCCGCTGATGCCGGTGCTGGTGCTGTCGTTCGCCGCTGCTGCTGCTGCTGCTGTCGTTCGCTGCTGCTGCTGCTGCTGCTGCTGCTGCTGCCCAAAAGCACCTCCCGGCACCAAAACAGCCGTTGCTGCTGCAGCAGCAGCAGTAGTAGTAGCTGGCGGCTGCTGTGCCATCAACCAGCCTCCAAGGCGAGAAACCAACAGCCAGACACCTTTTTCGAAACTCACTCGAAACAGCAAAACACCACCTAATTTCGTGCCGAAAATGACGCAAAGTGGCAGCAAAAAACTGCCTAACAAAACACCACCTAATTTCGTGCCGAAAAGGACGCAAAATCGCAGCAAAAAACTGCCTAACGTGTCTTCTGAAATCCTAGAGAATCTTAGACATAATCCAAGAAATCTGCAGCTGACGGTGCTGATGCTGTATCGTCCGCTGATTGCCCGGTGCTGGTGCTGTCGTTCGCCGCTGCATGCTGCTGCTGCTTCGTTGCTGCTGTTGCTTGATTGATGCTCGACTGCTGCTACGCTGCTGCTCGCGTGCTCGCTGCCGCCGCCGCGTCCGGCAGGCAGCCGCGGAGGCGGATGCGGCTGCGGCTGCGGCCTGCGGCTGATGCTGCTGCGGATGAGGCTGCGGCTGCGGCTGCGGCTGCGGCTGCGGCTGCTGCTGCGGCTGCTGCGGCTGCTGCGGCTGCTGCGGCTGCTGCGGCTGCTGCTGCTGCTGCTGCTGCTGCCCAAAAGCACCTCCCGGCACCAAAACAGCCGTTGCTGCTGCAGCAGCAGCAGCAGCAGTAGTAGTAGCTGGCGGCTGCTGTGCCATCAACCAGCCTCCAAGGCGAGAAACCAACAGCCAGACACCTTTTTCGAAACTCACTCGAAACAGCAAAACACCACCTAATTTCGTGCCGAAAATGACGCAAAGTGGCAGCAAAAAACTGCCTAACAAAACACCACCTAATTTCGTGCCGAAAAGGACGCAAAATCGCAGCAAAAAACTGCCTAACGTGTCTTCTGAAATCCTAGAGAATCTTAGACTATAAATCCCAGAAAATCCTGCAGCTGCCGGTGCTGCTGCTGTCGTCCGCTGATGCCGGTGCTGGTGCTGTCGTTCGCTGCTGCTGCTGCTGCTGCTGCTGCTGCTGCTGCTGCTGCTGTGCCATCAACCAGCCTCCAAGGCGAGGAACCAACAGCTAGACATCTTTTTCGAAACTCATTTTCGAAACTCACTCGAAACAGCAAAACACCACCTAATTTCGTGCCGAAAATGACGCAAAATCGCAGCAAAAAACTGCCTAACGTGTCTTCTGAAATCCTAGAAAATCCTAGACTAGGTCCTAGACTATAAATCTGCCTACCGTGTCTTCTGAAATCCTAGAAAATCTTGGAGAATCCTAGACTAGGTCCTAGACTATAAATCCTATAGAAAATCTTAGAGAAACCAACAGCTAGACATCTTTTTCGAAACTCATTTTCGAAACTCACTCGAAACAGCAAAACACCACCTAATTTCGTGCCGAAAATGACGCAAAGTCGCAGCAAAAAACTGCCTAACGTGTCTTCTGAAATCCTAGAAAATCCTAGAGAATCCTAGACTAGGTCCTAGACTATAAATCCTAGAAAATCTTAGAGAAACCAACAGCTAGACGTCTTTTTCGAAACTCACTCGAAACAGCAAAACACCACCTAATTTCGTCCCGAACATGACGCAAAATCGCAGCAAAAAGCAGCAGCAGCAGCATCAGCGAACGACAGCACCAGCACCGGCATCAGCGGACGACAGCAGCAGCACCGGCAGCTGCAGGATTTTCTGGGATTTATAGTCTAAGATTCTCTAGGATTTCAGAAGACACGTTAGGCAGTTTTTTGCTGCGATTTTGCGTCCTTTTCGGCACGAAATTAGGTGGTGTTTTGTTAGGCAGTTTTTTGCTGCCACTTTGCGTCATTTTCGGCACGAAATTAGGTGGTGTTTTGCTGTTTCGAGTGAGTTTCGAAAAAGGTGTCTGGCTGTTGGTTTCTCGCCTTGGAGGCTGGTTGATGGCACAGCAGCCGCCAGCTACTACTACTGCTGCTGCTGCTGCTGCAGCAGCAACGGCTGTTTTGGTGCCGGGAGGTGCTTTTGGGCAGCAGCAGCAGCAG